CCTTGCCCGATGCAGCCCCTCCTGCGTCCGCCACGCCAGTTGCTGCTGCTGCTGCCTCCACTGCTGACGCTGTTGTTGCAGCCCTGCCCGCACAAACACCAGCAGTTCAAGGCGCACCAGGAGCAGCAGCAGCAGCAGCAGCCCTGCCACTACAAACACCGGCATCAGCTGCACCAGCAGAAGCAGCTATAGCAGCAGCAGCAATGGCAGCAGAGGGACCGGCAGCCGCAGGAGACCCCTCACAGCCCTCCCTCTGGTCGCTCCTGGGCGCCACGGACCGCCAGCGACTGACAGCCCTGCAGGTGGCGGTGTCACGCGCTCTCTTCACCATGGCCAAGGATACGTGCCTTGCCGGACGCGCACCGGGAGCAGAGGCGATGCAAGTGGCGGGAGCAACCAAGCGCACGCTGGGAGGGCCGGGCAGCGTGAGTTGGCGCATAGTGGCGTGCCTGTGCACCATGCTGGGGGGACCGTCCTTAACACTGGACGAGTGCCGGTTCACGAATGAAACAGGGCAGCAGGTGGTGAAAGCGGCGGACATGTATTCGTACCTGCAGCGCACGCATGTGAGCGGCGGGCGCATGATCTCATCGCAGCACATGCGGCGCTTCGTGCAAACCATGGTGGCGGCGCTACGCTCCGTCACGCCCATGCCGGATGCGGATGCGGCGCGCCTCAACACGCTCATGCATGCCTTTGACGACGCGATTGCCACCTCCGATGCTGTCGGCTGCTCGCAAGGTGCTCTTGGCCGGTTGGTAGTGGTGGTGGGTGCCGATGCATGCACGTTTGCTTGCGTCTGCATGCACGTTTGCGTCTGCATGTGAATGCGAATGTAATTGTCAAAGGATTGTGTTTTTTCTCTCTTATGGCGGCTCAGGCAGATCTTGATTGACTACGACCATGCTTCTCGCCCTTTTCTCTCCCTTCAGGCGGAGCATGGCTGCCGTGGCGAACGGGAGTGACGCACAACACGACCATCCATGTGGGCGACAAGGTCACATGGGTGTGGGATGACGACCTCCCGCACTCGCTCAGAGGTACTCAACTCCACCACCTGCATTGGTGCCGCTACCTCCTGTGTACGCCCTGTTTTTTAGCCTTCATTTTCGTCACAACCTCCTCTGTCCATCCGTGCAGAGAAAAGGGGTGTGTGTGATGAGCAGTTGTAACGGCTCTTTGTGCCCCTTGGATAAGACCACTTCCCATTCATGGTCTGCTCTGCCTCATTCCACCACCCTTTTGACTCTTCCTCTGCCACCCCACCACCACCGCCACCATCGCCACCACCGCCACCACCACCATCACCACCACCACCACGACCACGACCACGACCAGTGTCCGGGATGGGCGAGGCGGGCGACCCGCTGTTCCTGGGCTTCGGGGGGGACCGCCTGGTGGTGTCACGGCAGATGGCGTGCACTCCCATGAACGTGGGCGCTGGCGACATGACCAGTGACCCCGTGCCCTGCGTGCTCAGTGAGTGCCCTGCGTGCTCAGTGAGTGTTGATGCTGTGGTGAGCAACCAATGACCCTGTGTTGTGTGTGTTAATTGAGGTAGAATGATGAATTGGAACCCAGAATTGTGAGCGCAAGGCAATCTTTCCAGGTACTGCACGACAGGCAGAAAATCGAGATGCAAGCAATCCCCATCACTCGTCCCACCCACTATCCCCTCCAATCCCCGTTTCCCTCTCCCCTGCCGGCCACCTCTCCCCCGCCTGCCACCTCTCCCCCGCCTACCACCTCTCTCCCGCCTGCCACCTCTCCCCCGCCTGCCACCTTTCCCTTGCCTGCCACCTCTCCCTGCCGGCCACCTCTCCCCCACCAGGGATGGACGACGAGGCAGCGGGCACATTCGCCTACAGCAAGGTGTTTGCAGAGCCCATCAGCATCAACTACCAGGACGGCGCTCTGCCAGCCACTACAGGAGACGCCCTCTCTTCCTCTTCCTCCGCCCCCACCTCCATGTCCTCCAGCATTCTCACCGTGCTGCCTGCCAGAGCTGGGGTGGATGCTACTGCTGGTGAGGACTGCATAGGCTTTGAACCCTCCCACGCGCCATTCCCTAAACACTTCGAATGGGCGTTTGGACTGCATGGGTCGTGCAGATCTCTCATGGGTCGTGCAGATCTCTCATGGGTCGTGCAGATCTCTCATGGGTCGTGCAGATCTCTCATGGGTCGTGCAGATCTCTCATGGGTCGTGCAGATCTCTCATGGGTCGTGCAGATCTCTCATGGGCTTCTCCTTTCAGTTGCATCCAGTTACCGTGTGTGCAGTCTCTCTCCACCCTTCCCACCTGCTGCATCTCAGTTTATTATCCCCCCCTCTACTCTCCCCGTCCTCTCTCCTCCTCCACCGTTCCGCCCCCCCGTTTCTATCGTTTTCCAGCCGCTCCTCTCCACATCTTTCCACGGCTCCCGTCCTTCCGCCCCTGAATTCTTTTGCAATGCAAGCGATTGCAGGTTTTATCAATAGCACCGCCGCTGGCTTTAATACCAACACCACCAACACCACCGCTGTCAACGCTTCCCCCGCTGGCACCACCAACTCTATGGCAGCATTTGAGTGTGCAGCGGGGTGCCAGTTGCGGCGGCTGGCGAACGGGGTGTGCGATGCGGCGTGCAACACGCCCGCGTGCGCCTTTGACGGTGGCGACTGCGCGTGTGTCGACCCACACTTTGGCCCCGGCATCTGCGCCTGTCCCTCCGGCCACACTCGCCGTGACGACGGCTGTCAGTCATCCCTCTCCCCCCTCCGCTTGACCCTCTCGCCCCCTGCATTGGTCCACCATCCTTCTCTCCTCTCCTATTCTCACGTCACATCACGCTTACTTGCTTCCTGGCGTGCACTTGATTTTGATGAATACCTTGCCCTGCTGTCCCTGCTCTCTCTCTCTTCCTCATCTCCCTCCCGTTTCTCCTCATCTCCTTCCTCGTCTCTGTTCCTCCCCTTTCTCCCCCCACTTTCTCTCCAGCATGCTGTCTATCCACGGCGGTGGGCACGAATCTCAACTTCCCCTTCTCACTGCAGCGCTACGGCCCCAACTACACGGAGAGCAACTATGTCTTTGCGGCTGAGAGGGGCTTTGCTGCCACACGCTACGTGTCCCGCCGCAACCGGTATGCCACCCCCCCACCTCCCTGCCTGCCCTGTTGGCCGCCCTGTTTCTGTTGCCCGCCCTGGATGGAAAGCGGGAGAACGGGGCGGGGTGATGGAAAGCGGGAGAACGGGGCGGGGTGATGGAAAGCGGGAGAACGGGGCGGGGTGATGGAAAGCGGGAGCACGGGGTAGGGTGATGGAAAGCGGGAGAACGGGACAGGGTGATGGAAAGAGGGAGAAGGGGGCGGGGTGATGGAAAGTTGGAGAATGGGGCGGGGTGATGGATGGAGGGAGAATGGGGCAGGGTGATGGAAAGCGGGAGAATGGGGCAGGGTGATGGAAAGCGGGAGAATGGGGCGGGGTGATGGAAAGCGGGAGAATGGGGCGGGGTGATGGAAAGCTGTTGCCCGCCCTGTTTCTGTTGCCCGCCCTGTTTCTGTTGCCCGCCCTGTTTCTGTTGCCCGCCCTGTTTCTGTTGCCCGCCCTGTTTCTGTTGCCCGCCCTGTTTCTGTTGCCCGCCCTGTTTCTGTTGCCCGCCCTGTTTCTGTTGCCCGCCCTGTTTCTGTTGCCCGCCCTGTTTCTGTTGCCCGCCCTGTTTCTGTTGCCCGCCCTGTTTCTGTTGCCCGCCCTGTTTCTGTTGCCCGCCCTGTTTCTGTTGCCCGCCCTGTTTCTGTTGCCCGCCCTGTTTCTGTTGCCCGCCCTGTTTCTGTTGCCCGCCCTGTTTCTGTTGCCCGCCCTGTTCCTGTTGGCCGCCCTGTTCCTGTTGGCTGCTCTGTTGTACGACGCCATGCCTTTCCGCGACTTTGTTATTCTTTCATCCCGTACTTGCAGGAGCACAGCGTATATCCATTCGCGTACACCTCTCCTCCTTCTGTCAACTTCTGTTTGCCCATGAGAACCTTCACTCACCACCACACTTGCCTTCTCACTCTCCTCTGCCTTATCCCCCTTGGTCCCCTCCCTACTCCCTTCTCCTCCGTGCCAGTCTGTTAATTGGCATGATGCTGCAGCAGGAGCGGTGGGGCACGAAGCAGTGCAGTGGGCCGGGGTGAGTGGCTCTCGTGAAGGGGCATGAGCAGGGGTGGGAGCCGAGCCGAGCCAGGTGCACTTGTTGGCCGCGGCTCGATGGGGCCAACGAGTTGCGGCTTAACGAGCCGTGCCATCGTGCGAGGGTTTCACAATGTTTGTCGTATTCTGTCGCTGTCTGTGACACCGCCACCCATTGCCCTTCTTTCAACACCTTTACTTCATTCCCTTCCTTGGTCACAGCTGCACCACTCTTCTCTACTCCAATCCACCTTACTCCCTGCCCTCCCACCTCCCTCCCCTCCCTCCCCAGCCTGCTGCACCTGGGGGGATGGTGCAGCAACGGCACGTCTACGGAACCGTTTGGAGTGAACCCGCACTTCCTGCCCACATCGGCCATCTACGACAGCGCTGCCAGCGCCAACATGAGCCAGCTCGACAACAATACCTTCGGCTTTAAACTGCAGTTCAACCCTCAAGGCCTCCCTTACGGCTTCATCTACCCCTTGGTCAGTGTCTTAAATTTTTGTTTTCCTCATTTATCTGCCTTTGTCAAGCAGTGCGATTCCCTACGGCTTCATCTTCCCTATTGTCAGTTCCTCGGGGTTTAGTTCTAGTGCCCGCCCGACACTGCCAGTGCAGAGCAAGCAAGCAAGGCAAACGACTCATCCCTTCCTTGTGCTCTCCCGCTGCCTTGCTGCCCGAGTGCCTTGTGCTCCTCCTTGTCTTGCTGTCGTGCTGCCTTTCTGTCGTGCTGCCTTGCTCTCGTGCTGTCTTTCTGTCTTGTTTCTTGGTGTCGAGACGTGTTGACAATGAAGCAAATGATGTCTTGGCGAAAAAAGTGTTCACCTGTACTTTTTTTTTCATCAGGAGTCTCTCACGACATACCCTTTGGTCTTCGGGATTAATCTCGATAACGAGGCCGCCACAAGGCGTCTACAGTACCTGGTGGATGGCAGCTACATTGACAATGGCACGCGGAGTATTGATGTCAGCTTCATCACCTTCAATGGTATTTCATTACCTTCCGGTGACAAACACCGACCCTCGAGCAAATGCATCTATTCACATCCATTCGTTTCTTACAGCACTCAGTGTACACTGCTCGCCTCTCAACGTGTTTTCCTCAATGCACAACGCTCCCTGCTTCCTTGATGCCCCAACGGTTGCCGGCAGGCGAGACGCTCACTTTTGTGCTCACAACTGTGAGTTGCACGTTGGACGCGGGCGGCAGCATGGCAGTGAGCTTCAAGTCACAGCCGGCAGCCATGGCGATGTACGATGCATCGGCGGACAACATCGCACGGCTGGTGCTGGAGGTGATCTACCTGGTGGGGCTGCTCTGGAATGTGTGTGGCGAGCTGCAGGAGATGGCTGACCGTGCTGCCACGGATGGATCTGTGCTCAGCTACTTTGAGCAAGCATGGAACTGGGTCGACATGTTCTCTCTCTCGCTGCAAGTGGTTGCGGTTGTTATGTGGTAAGTGTTGTGATGCTATACTTTATACAACATCCATAGGCTAACATTGAAGGTGTAGTCATTAATGTTATTGGGGGGTTGTACCCTCCAGTCACAATTAGTGGATGGTCAAGATTGGATTTGGTTCTTAGTCCTTGGTTGACACTTGCCAGTACTTTATCCAACCAATTCCAACCAACCTACATTTTGTGGTTGCTTAGGCTACAAATCAGCTCACCCATTGGCCAACCTAGTGGTTAAAAAGGTTAACTCCTCTTACACTCTCCTCTTCCTCTATGCTTGTATTCCTTTTGGCTCATCACTCAATTATAAATTTCTGTTGTAACAGTAATAACCCAACCAAGCTGCGTTAGTGCTTATACTGAGTACTCATTGTCTTATCGTGCAAAATGCTTATTGCTCTTTTTTCGCTACCCATCTGCTCCACATGGTCACATTCTCTCACTATCCTCCACATGTGCGTGCATGTGTCGGTGTGGGCAGGGTGGTGCTATGGCGGTACGTGAGCACATTTGACATGCAGCCACGATACGATATCTACTACTCACTACTCGAGATGCCACGCTACTGGGCCGTGCCCAACCCGCCTACGGGTTTCATCAAGGCCACTCAGGCCTTCGCTGATCTGCGCAACATCATCAACCTCCGCGCCGTCTACTTCGCCCTCCAGGGCATCAAGTGAGCCGCCTTTGCCTTGCTTTTCAGAACAATATGTGAGCCATTTTCATTGTATCTACGACGTCCCAGAGTGAGCAAAAGACGAACTTGAACTGGTTGGGCCAGAGCCTGAGCACAGGCTGGTCTGTGGTTTGACTATTCGTGTCACACAGGTTTCGTTCAGTTTGCTGACATCCTATATTGAACATCCTTCCCTTCTCCCTCCTCCCCACCTCCCAATCCCCCTAGTATCTTTTTCATGATGATGCGCCTGCTCAAGGTGATGGACTTCCAACCTTACCTTGGGGTCATCACACGCTCCCTCGGCCTCGCCACGCCCTCGCTGTTGCACTTCTTCCTGCTCTCCTTCACGGTCTTTTTCTGCTTCAGCATGTACGCGTACCTCTGCTTCGGAGGCGCAATGGAGCTGGTATGTGTGCGGCTTTGGTGTGTGTGTGGCTCATGTCCTTGTAGTCGAAATCATGTTGAAGTGAATACCATGTAGGCACAGAGAGAGCTAGACTACGGGGAAGACATGGGTGGCATGAGTGATCGTATCGTAAGGTTGCTTGTGTTCTCTAGCACTTATGCGTTCACGGTGCAAAACGACAAGAGTTTCACTAGCAAAAGTTGAGAAGAATAATGCACAATGGTAATGGCAAAGTGACTACATCCGAAAGCTAGCAAATCTAGCAAGCAGCTAGGGATGAGCAAAAAAACGAACACCTGTTCGGTTCGCCTCGAACACGTTCGAGGCGAACCGAACAGGTTAAATTTTTTGGCTTAAATCGTTCGCCGAACAGTGTTCGATGTTCGCCCGAACACGTTCGTGTTTGGGCCGCTGCTGCAATTTGCCCCTAGACGAACACGAACGTGTTCGAGGTTCGCTTGAACACGCCTTCATAGGCGAACGACGAACACCTGTTTTTGCTTAAGGTGTTCGCCGAACCGAACAGTGTTCGGTCCACCGATCAGGGGTGTTCGTGCATGGGCGAACGCGAACACGTTCGTGTTTGCCCTTTGCTCATCCCTACAAGCAGCAGTTCGACCGCGAGCGAAGCAAGTCGGTGGCTTTCCAGCGTAGCAAGTCGGCGGCGTTCCAACGCAGCCCGAAAGCGGTTTGCTAACATTGCAAGTCGGCGACCTGCCAGTGCTGCACCAGGGCGGCTTATAAATGTTGCAGCAAGGCAGCTTGCCAGCGTTGCAACCGCATGTAACTATAACGCACATGCACACACCCACTTCGCAGGCGCGGGTCGACGGTTGAGCACGTCGTGCATCGTCCCGACCATTGCGCAGGTTTGAAGTCGGTCACATGTCGACGGTTGCGCTTCTTGCACCACGTCGACCTCGTACGCACGTGATGTTGCCACATAGGTCGGCTTCGTTAAAACCACCTAGAAGACGTTCATGCATCCTTGCAAAATTTCGTCGACCATGTTATTTCGTCGACCAGAGGAGGCCGCCGACGCCCATAAGTCGGCGCCCCCCGAGTCGACAGCATGTCGACGAACACCTTCGTCGGCGCCGACTTCACCTCATCGACCAACGCTATGGTCGGCTTTGCCGAAGTTGGCTCCGCTCCTGTCGACTTCCCAAAGTCGGCTAACCAGCAAGTCAACTAACAAAGCCGACCTGCTTCTCCGAGTCGGCTAACCAAGCCGACTTTTTCAACTACCAAGTCAGCTCCGCCGTTCGTTGAAGTCGATTTTGCAATGGTCGCCTTCACCGTAGTCGGCTTCGCCGAAGTCAACCCCACTGAGGTCGGCCAACCAAGCCGATTTGCTCCTCCAAGTCGGCGCAGACCACGAAGCCTAGCAGACTGCACATGTTGCATGTCAACCAGCGACGCCAGCTTCGCCCAAGCGAGGCGGGGCCAAATCTACAACCAGCACTCATGTCCTTGCAGTCTATATTATTTCCAAGTGAGCACCAACTAGGCACAGTGAGAGGAATCCGAGCCCCTTTTTTTTGTTTACAGAAAACAAGACCAAACAAAGCAAATAAAAAACAAGCACATACCACATGGCTCATGTACTTATGCAGTTTACACTACCAAAAACAACCCCTTCCCACCCCAACCCACCCTGTGCAGTTCTCCACAGTCGCGGAGTCCATGTTCTCGTTGTTCCTCCTGCTCATCAACGACAACGGCTCGGCCTACTTCTTGCAGCGCCTCGAATCGTGGGACCTGATAGCAGCGATGCTCTTCTTCTTCATGTTCATTGTCTTCATGGTCTTCATCCTCCTCAACTTCCTCATTGCCATCATCGTCGATGCCTTCATGGATGTGAAGGATAGCAACGTTGTCGCCACCTCCATAGCCGCTGACCTCGCTCACATCATCAAGTACAAGTGGAACTGCTGGTGCGGCCGGTACTTGCCATACCGCGTCATTCTCGACCGCCTTCTGGACCTGGGGGTTAAGGACACCCGCATTAAAGAGGTGCGTGCGTCGTAAGATTTTTGGTGCAGGGTGAAGTGAAGTGTGAAGGTCTTTGATTGCTTGGTTGGTCATGCTGCAACGGCCACAGCTGAAACCGACTCCTAACCGCCTTCTCTCACTTACGCCATTCCCCGCACGGCCTTTCGCTTCAGGAGAACCCTCGGATGCGCCGCTTCAAGTCCATCCAACGGCGGGTAGGCTCCATGCTTTCCGGCAAGCAAGGCAGAGCCGACCAGCCAGCGCACTTCGCCCGGTCAGAAAACCAACCCGCCTTCCCCTCTGCCGTCAGCGATTCGCGGGTGCGGCGGCAGCACGTGCTGACAGTGAGGGACAAGCGCATCGACGCCATCTCGCTTGCCATGATCCTGCAGCGCCGCCACGGCAAGGCGGTACGTCCTTGCTGCCATGCTCGTTGCCATGTCGTTCCATGCTCGTTGCCATGTCGTTCCATGCTCGTTGCCATGTCGTTCCATGCTCGTTGCCATGCTCGTCCCCATGCTCGTTGCCATGCTCGTCCCCATGCTCGTTGTCATGTCGTTCCATGCTCGTTGTCATGTCGTTCCATGCTCGTTGTCATGTCGTTCCATGCTCGTTGTCATGTCGTTCCATGCTCGTTGTCATGTCGTTCCATGCTTGTTGTCATGTCGTTTCATGCTCGTTGCCATGTCGTTCCATGCTCGTTGCCAATGCTTTTCCATGCTTGTTCTGAATGCCCTCCTGTCATGCTTGTGACGACTGGTGCAGGTAGCGTCCTGTCAATTGCTTACTCTTCCTGCTGTGGTCAAAATCCAGTTTTCACTGATGTTTCTCCCTGCATCACTCTGCATTTTTTCTTAGCATTACTCTCAACTACAATCAGCCTCTTAATCCTCCATCCACTCCCCCCGCCATTCCCTCCCTCCACCTCCTCCCCACATCACCCCTCCACCTCCCCTCGTTCCTTCCCAGGCAAAGAAGGGCCGCCAATCAGCCGCTGCCATGTCAGCCCGGGCGGCTTGTTTCTCCTCGTCCGCGTGTGACAGTGGCGCCATGTGGGGGGCTGCTGGCCCCTGGACGGCAGACGAGGAGCAGCTGGAGCAGCTGTCGCAGGCGGTGGTGCTGCAGTGCGGCGAGGTGGTGAAGCAGGCTGCTCTGCCCGTCAAGAAGCCCGTTCAGAAGCTCACCCTGGCACAGGTCCAGGTGCGTGGGTGGGTGCAGGGGACAGGGGATGCATGTGGGGATGTGCATGGGCTTAAGTGAGGAGGGATGACCGTGGATACATGTGAGGGAGGGGGAATGCTAGTGCTACGGGGCTTCGCTCATGCTGCCCTTCCGTTATGCTGACCATCCGTGCCCCATGCATCCCTGCTCTTCCCTGCTCTCCCACATGCTTTGTGGGGGCGTGTGTGAGCAGGAGGAGGTGCAACGCAGCCACGAGTCAGTGGAGGAGCTGAGGGGCATGATGGCCGACATGCAGAGCGACATGCGCGCCATGATGGCGCTGCTCCACCGCACCTTACCCGCCTTGCGCGCCCAGACCCCTCCTGTTTCCAGCTCCGTATCACCGCTGCCGGGGCAGCAACCGCTGGTGCAGCCATGCCTGAAAGTGCAGCAAGCGGAAGTGGAGGGTGAGGGGCTGGGAGCGGTGGAGGCAGGTGGGATGGGTGTGGGGGAACGAGCAGTGATGGATGAGGGTGTGAGAAGCGGTTCTGGCCGGTTGAGTGGGAGAGTGGCCAGCAGCCAACCCCCATCGTCGAGACGAGCGTCAGGGAGACGGGTTGTGTTCCAAGACGAGGCAGAGGAGGGCGGTGAGGGTGGTGCGAGCATGGAGGAGCCATGGCAACAGCCATTGATAGGAAACCAAAGAGAGCCTTGAAAGTAACCGAGAGCAGTTGTAATGCTTGACCGATCTCCTATATTGCACTGTACAGCCTACTTTCAGACTGTATGCGCTGCACGTCTCAGCATTGCGTAGCACATGGTCTGGCTGGAACCTGAAGACTGGCACCTGCACCTGAGTCTAGCAACGGGGCACCTTCGGAGGCAGGATGGTGTTCCCAGCCAGCCAGCTGGACCATCGTGCCGCCGTGTCACCAGTTGTGCCAACTGGGATCATGGACAAGTGAACAAACCTGTTGGCATCTTGTGTGTCTTGGCTCAAAGCCTGTTGGCAGAAGAAGCCACGAGATTTTGTTTCTCCTACGGGTATTTCTTCAAAGTACCTTGGCTTCCAATGAGACTTCAATAAGTTTTGGTGTTCACTCTTTGAGAAAAGCTGTAACCGGATCAGAGAGAATTCCAGAAACACAACAGTAGGTGGCATCGTACTTTCCTCCAATCGACGTACGCCCAGATCTAACAGGTCCCTCACCATACCGAAGTGGCAATATGTGCCAAATTGATTGCATCCCCCCACTCCCGTGGCGGTCGTGCACACCGTGTCAGAGGTCCTTTTGTTTGGATTCACTATACAGTTCGTACAGTACTTTGAGGAGTTTCCATTCCAGGGACCACCGAATGAGATAAGTACTGTAGCATCGCATCTCAACCGCCCGCCCTACTGAACTGAATGCTTCAAGTATACACACAACCAAAGAAACGCATAACCACATCGCTTTCAACCAAAGAAACGCATGACCACATCGCTTTCAACCAAAGAAACGCATAACCACATCGCTTTCAACCACGTCTTTTAATTTCCTTGTGGTGGCTCGGCTTCGTCCTCTCCTTTTTGCACAACTTGCCATGCCATCAAGGCCAGGCAAAAGTAGCAGCAGGGCAGGACAAGTACAACACAGCGCAGAACACTTACGGCGTGTTGCAATTGCCGGTGCACTGCATCGGCTCGGCACTTTCGGAAGTTTCCAGGCAGGCAGGAGGCCAAACAAGGGCACTAATTCGAGAAAGAAAAGTTTCAAGTTAGCGATTAGAAGAGTTATGTTTTAAGGTTATACTAGGATATATTTTTTTTGCGCGATGTTCTGTGAAAACTTTACGGCTTGTTGCGTTCCCGGAGCCCCCCGAAACCCGTGCCACGAGCCGAGCCGATGCAGTGCACCGCGAATTGCAACACGCCGTTACAACGGGCAGCAGGGTACACGTGGAGCAGCAGCTCTTCCCCATTCTCCAAGCAATTGTGCCCCTTTGACCTGATGTACCGCCGCTAGACATGGAGAACACCAGCAAGAAAGTACGTCACACATCTTTCGTTGCCCTCACACATGCTCATTATTAGGAACTATCGCCAGCAGCTCCTGTTTCTCGTCTCTCACTGATAGCGGGGATGGCGGAGGCGGTCGCAGTGCTGCGCGCGAAAAAGCAGGCGGAGGAGGAGGGCGGCGAGGCGTCGTTTTCGCGGTCGAAGAGTTTACTGGACGAGCATTTCGAGGAGTATGAGGCGGCGAACTATCGCATGTGGGTTCGATCCAAGTCCAACACTCCATCCCGGTGAGCCGACCATCATGCTCCGCGCTTGCTTGCTCCTTAACGTCGACACTTGCTTCCGAAAAAAGGTTTTCCAAAAGAGTTGTTTCTGCAAAACAGGCGTAGTCTCGACTTTGCTAATCCAGATTCTCCCGCCCATGCCCAAATCCCCCGTTTTCGTCATCGCTTCGAAGTCGTAAGCCTTCTGGGTCTCGCAACGTCAAGAAGCACAACTTAGATTTCCTCGGTAGCGACGGGATGCTCACGCCGCAGAATCCGGAGCTCTTGTCACGTCTCGCGTCAAGCTCGTCGCTTAATCCGTCCATTCACGTCGCTCCACGCGGAGGGCGGAGCGGAGAGGTTGGCGGAGGAAGGGAGAGCTGGCGGAGAGGGTACGGGGAGTGAGGGAGCGCGGGACAGCAGCGGCAACAACAGCAGTAACAGCAGCAGCGCGAGCAGCCACGAGAGCTCGGCGGATGACGAGAGGGGGCTGCGCGCCTTCCTGCGGCATTGCCGCCCGCGGGGGAAGCGGTCAAACACCACGCGCGCCGACGTGAGCTGCGCGGATGGCGGGGAGGGCGGAGAGGGGAAGGCGACCGCGGCGGGGGGTCCGCTGAAGCGCAGCTTGACGGAGGATACGACGGGGGAGACGATGGCGTGGAGTGCGGGCTCGTTGAAGGGCCTGAGAGCGGGTGTCAGCCTGGCGCGGTCGGCGAGCGACGTGCTGCGCGACGCGGAGATGGACGAGATGGACAGAGAGGTGCTGCAAGGTGCGCCTCTTCCCCGCGTCCCCCCTCTTCTCCTCGTCCGCGCCTATTTCCGTCGTCCGCGCTTCTTCCCCTCGTCCGCGCCTCTTCCCCGCGTTGCTTTCTGCTGTTCCGCCTCTGGCGTTCCACGCCGTCCTAACCGTTCTCACTGCGGCACTCAGCCAACTCAATACCTTAACTACCCCTTTTCCATTCCATCCCCCCCCCCCACCGTCCCCCCCCACACACAACCTCCCCCGGCGCGCTATGTGACGGAAGACGCTAGACGCTAGACGCTAGACGCGCCGTCTAGACGCTAGACGCTAGACGCGCGTTTAGACGCTAGACGCTTGGGTAAAAAATTTTCGGGCAGCCCTATTTTTTTTTTTTCCGCTGCCGAAATTGAATTTCGCGATTTCGGGGTGAAATTCAATTTCGCGACATTTGCACCCCCTCCCACCCATTTCGACCTTAGAAACAAGCCCCCCAAGCAAAATTGACATTCCCTCAACCAACATTGAATACAAACCTCTCTCAACCACTTAGCATCTAGAAAACCCAACCCTTGATGGCAAACCACCAAGAGCTTGGGAAGCACAAATCCCCCATTTGTGCTTCCCATCTTTCATTTCTAGCAAATTCTCTTTCAAAAACCCTTTAGGGTTTAGAGCTAGTTCTCTCTTGAAGCCATGTCTTCTTCTAATTTTTCTTCTAGTTCCGCCGCCTCCTCCTCGCATGACGATGCCGTGGGGGAGGGAAGTTCCGCGCATGTTTCCAAGGAGGGTAGTTCCGCGCGTGTCTCTAAGGAAATGGATGGAATTACGAAGGTGAAAAATTATCCCGACCACGTGATCTACAAGCATTACTACTACTTTAAGGGTCCAAAGAAGAAGGGCGACCAAGTGGAGTGCGAGTATTGCAACAAGACTTTTGCTTGGAGTAGTAGCCGTTGTCCCGAGCACCTCGCCGAGTGGCACGATCCCCATCGGCGGCGCGAGGCGGGAGTGGTTTGCAAGGATGTGCCGAAGGAGGTTTCGAAGGAGATTCGCGAGATGTTCGAAGCGAAGATTCGCGCGCGCAACCAAAAGGCGAAGGCGACGGAGGCGGCGCTCGTTGCGGTGAGCGGCAAGAGCGCGGCGGGAGAGAAGGCGAAGAAGCGCGGGCGCATGGAAGATTTTTACGGCGAGGGGGGCGTCGCGGCAAAGAAGGCGGCCGACGAATCCATCGTCCTCTACCTCGCGGGGACGCGCACATCGGAGCGCCAGTGCGAGCACCCGCTCTTCCTCAACATGTTGCGCGCCGTCGCTGCAGCCGGCCAGGGATATGTCCCCCCCAAGCGGCACTACGTCGGAGGCGCCGGCCTTCAAGACTGCAAGCTGCGGATCGAGAAGGCGTTGTCGCCCGTGACGAAGTCGTGGAGGGAGACAGGCGTGACCATCGCCAGCGATATGATGCAGGACGTGAGCGGCCGCGCGCAGTTGAACGTTATTTGCATCAACGACACTGGAGCTGTCTTTGTTGAGGCAGTTGACTGCAAGGCTGCGACGAAGAGCGGCAAGTTCATCGCGGGCGTCCTGCGGCCGATCATCGAGCGCATCGGGGCAGAGCACGTCGTCGCGCTGTGCACGGACGGCGGCAGCAACTACAAACGTGCTGGCAAGCTGCTGCAGAAGGAGTGGCCGCATCTCGACCTTGTTCCCTGCGCCACTCACGTGATGGACCTGCTGATGGAGGACATCGGCAAGATGGACTGGGCGCAGCTGGTCGTGACTCAGGCCGACGATATTATCAGCTTCGTGCGCGCACACCAGTGGACGCGGGCATTTCTGCGGCTCCCGGAGCTGCACGGCGAGAAGAAATCGCTGCAGGCCCTGAAGCCGGCCGGCACGCGCTTTGGAACGCAATACATCGCTGTGTCTCGTCTGCGCGCCATTCGCCCCCAGCTGCAGGCGATGGTGGCGCACAAGGACTGGGCGGAGAAGGGGGGGAGCATGCAGACGGGAACGGATTTTGAAGGGTGGGTGAGCGACCCAGCGTGGTGGAAGAAGGTGGACTTCTTCGTGCAGCTGATGGAGTTGTTCTACACTGTGATGCGGAGGACGGATTCAGCGGCGAAGGGGATGATGGGTCAGCTTTACGACATAATGCTGCAGCTGACGGAGGAGTTGGATAAGATGCTGGATGGGAGGAAGTGTAAGCTGAGCAGGGCGGAAAAGGAGAAGGTTAGGGAGCATTTGAGGAAGCGGTGGGATGAGAGCATGGCATGCCCCCTCCACGTGGCAGGCCGGATCTTGAACCCGGCCAACCAAGAGGAGGGGATTTTCCTGCAGGATCCTGAGTGCACCAGGGTGATGCAGGACTGGCTGGAGCGCCAGCAGGTCTTTGTAGACACATACTGGGGGAAGGCGCGCGGCAAGAAGGGACCGGTGCGGCCGCTGCACGAGGGTGTGACAGCCTACATCAACGGCCATGGGAAATTTGGCTCAGACACCGCGATCGACGGGCGTAAAAAGATTCAGCTGGGGGAGGGGGACGTGATGCTGTGGTGGCAGTACAATGGATGGGAGTACCTTGACCTGGCGCGTCTTGCGCGCCGCACGCTTTCCCAGACCGTTTCCGCTTCCCCGTGCGAGCGTAACTGGTCTACTTGGGATGGCGTGCATACGGTGCGCAGGAACCGCCTCGGGTCGGAGAAGGTCCGCGACCTTGTGTACATCACGCACAACTGGCCTGTTGTGCGCGGCATCCACAAGGGTGCGGATGATGCAGGGCCTAGTGTGGTGGGAAGGAAGGGGGGGGTGTTGGAGGGGAACATCCCCCCCCCTCCCATTCCCGAGGGGTACAAATTGGAGGAGGATGAGGAGGTGGACGCGGACGAGGACGCCGTGTGCGTCGATGAGTGGGAGGGGCAGGAGGACGAGGATGAGGAGGAGGAGGAGGAGGAGGAGGAGGAGGAGGATGAGGAGGAGGAGGAGGAGGAGGAGGAGAGGAAGGAGGAGACGTAGTGATTGGGGGGAAGTAGTAGGTGCTATTTATATCATGCTTGCTACTGCTGCTAGAGAGACGTGGTTACCTAACCTAACTATGAATGATGGGAAATGATGCTTTTTGTGAACTCTAATTATGGGGAAAAACGTTTGGTATGGCGGAAATTTGACCCATATGTGATATATGTGCATGTCCCCCACCCTCCCCATGGCCCTGAGAAGTTTTTTTGGCTGCTCGAACTTTTTTTTAGGGCCTGCCCGGGTTTCCGTCTAATCTGTGTCTAACCTAGGCGGAAATGCGTCTAGCGTCTTAGACGCTGCGTCTAGACGCAACCGTCTAAGACGCTAGACGCGTCTTCCGTCACATAGATGTGCAACACGAGGGATGTGCAACACGAGGGATGTGCAACACGAGGGATGTGCAACACGAGGGATGTGCAACACGAGGGATGTGCGACAGCACTGCTGGCATACCATGGGGCACAGCTGGTTGATTGGCAGAATTCTTAGAATCATCCAGTGTGGCATGGGGCAGGATGGTTTGCTTTGCTGTCTACAAGCATTAGAGTCACGGGGCACACGCAAGGAGCACACGCACCATGAGGCAGGGAGCGCAGCATGGGGCAGGGAGCGCAGCGTGGGGCAGGGAGCGCAGCATGGGGCAGGGAACGCAGCATGGGGCAGGGAGCGCAGCATGGGGCAGGGAGCGCAGCATGGGGCAGGGAGCGCAGCATGGGGCAGGGAACGCAACGCACCATGGGGCAAGGGGCGTACCATGGGGCAAGGGGCGCACCATGGGGCAGGGAACGCACCATGGGGCAGGGAACGCAACGCTGCAACGCACCATGGGGCAGGGGGCGTCGGCATAGGTGGTGATGGAGGCGGGTGCAACGATGCACATGCGCGCACAGTCCACGAACGCCCCTGCCACCTCCCTCTCCGTGAATGGCCGCCCACAGGTTGCTGGCAGGCAAGCCACCAGCCTCAAACACGTCTGCATGCAGTATTGTATGAGCGCACGCAAACATGCATGCACACACACACACATACACACACACACACACACACGCACACACACACGCACACACACACGCACACACACACACACACGCACACACACACGCACACACACGCACACACACACACACACACACACGCACGCACGCACGCACGCACGCACGCACGCGCGCACACGCACACGCACGCGCACGCGCACGCACGCACGCGCACGCACGCACGCACGCACACACACACACACACACACACACACACACACACACACACAGACACACACACACACACACACACACACAGACACACACACACACACACACACACACAGACACACACACACACACACACACACAGACACACACACAGACACACACACACACACACACACACGCACGCACGCACGCACGCACGCGCACACGCACGCACACACGCACGTACGCGCACACGCACGCACACACGCACGCACGCACACACGCACGCACACACGCACGCACGCACGCACGCACGCACACACGCACGCACACACACACACACACACACACACACACCCACACACACACACACACACACACACCCACACACACACACACACACACACACACACACACACGCGCGCGCGCGCGCGCGCGCACACACACACACGTACATACGCGCGCGCACACACGTACACACGTACATTCACACGCACGCATGCACGTATGCACACACGCATTCGCGCATGCACACACACACACATACACGCGCGCGCGCGCACACACGCGTGCACAAAAGTGGATTGTCTTATGTGATTGAAAGCATGCACACTCAGCTCGGAAGGACACATGGTAAGAGCTGAGTGTGTTACACAGCATGGCACCCAGATGGCAACCCCAACCTCAGTGAGCGAGCACTCTATTCTTAGCGACGGTAGTGTGTCGGACAGCATGGGGCACGCAGAGCAAGTGCACACTCACACCACGACAGACATCAGGCGGAGAACCACCAGCGCCGCCACTTGGCTGCGCCTCATTGGCTGCATCCACGTCATCGTCGTGCTCGCAGTAGCCCCAGGCGGCGAGTTCAAGGGACGTGGTGCCACCAACGACGGAGAAGCGGCGCGTGCCGGGAGGGGGCGCGTGCACGGTGCCGCAGATGCCCCCCGCGGGCGCATTGAGCACCACCACCCAGTCGCCGTCCGGAATGTCCACCGCCAGGGATGCCTCCGCATTGCCTACGGGGAATGGCTGAAATTCCTCGTACCTGCTTGCACCGCATCACACGCATATGGGGTGGCGTGGGGTGGGGTGGGGTGGGATGAGTATACAGGATGGGGACGTCAATAAGAGCAGAGAGAGGCGGGAGGAGGGCGAGCATACCAGCAGAGGGAGACCGGGTTGACCATGCAGAGGTTCCAAGAAGATTTGTCTGCAGCCTGCTGCGTGTCGAGCTGAGAGGAGAGGCGGATGACGACAGAGGTGAGGTTGGGGAAGATGCCGCAGTCTGCTTCGCAGCCAAAGCGGCCAAACGCGGGGTATTGGAAGGGCCGCTCGCATAAGCCGGTACCACACCTGGGGTCCGCCCACAGGCTCTACAGGGGCGGCGGGGAGAGGGCAGGAGGGCAGTGAGGAGCGCACGGGCCGATGAGCGTGCGAGCTTTGATGCAGACAAGGGAAAGCTGGGATGCCGCGTGGGTGGGCGGACGGTAGGCATGGGTATGCGGGGAAACACGCACCAAGTACACGAGGAGCTTTAAGGCAGAGGCAAAGGGGAGAGATAGGAGGGCGAACCTGCAGGATGCTGGTGTTGAGCCAGTTGTAGAAGTCATCGGGGCCGTTGAAGGTGTTTGAGGCGTCCTGACGCATGCCCTGCTCTCGTGGTGGGCGGGGAGAGACACACTCAGGGCGGAGGTTGAGAGGAAGCGAGTGAGGAGAGTTGCGGAGAAGGTGCACAAAGGGGGCAGCTGAGCGGAGAGGGCGAGAGGCAAGGGGCCAGGGGTAGTGTTGACGCGCACGCGCGCAGAGTGCACGCGCGCAAGAGGTGGTGCATACAGTCAGATGGGGGAGGCGACGGAAGACGTGGGAAGTGGGGGTAAAGGGGGGAGCACACGGGGGGGGGGAAAGAGCACGGAGTGGGGTAAGGGGGAGCATACAGGGGAGAAGAGCAGGGATTGGGGTAGGGGAGGGGCATACGGGTGGGAAGAGCACGGCATGCGCGGCGGTGATCTCGTAGCTTCGAGAAGAATCAGCTTGCATGTAGAGGATGGTGATGAAGAAAGCCATGAGCACCACGAACCCGCCCAGGTCGCGGTAGTGCTGCACGCGCTGCTGCAGCGCCACCACGCGCCCAAACACCTCTGCCACGCGCCGCCACAGGGGCTGCCGTATGGCTTCTTGTACCCCGTGGTACGCCCGCCTCGCCTCGCCTCCCCCCATGCTGCACTGCAACACCTGTCGTATGGTGCGACTGCTGTTTCCGTCCCTCGTCCCTTTCTTCTCTTGTAAAGCGAGGCGATTTCACCACTGCTGCTGGTATCAGTGAGGGCTCATGTGGCCTGCTTTTCAAGGAGCAGCTGCTGCAATCGTTTCTTTTCTTCTCCGCCCTGCCTTCTCCACGTCACCCCCCGCTCCTGTTCCCCTGTGGTTCGCAGGAGCAGGAGGAGGGGTACCCGCTGGTGTTTGACATCAACCTGGCGTTCGAGGACGCCATGAACCGCCTGCAGTACCTCGTTGATGGCTTCTACGTCGACAATGCCACGCGCTCCATCGAAGTCTCCTTCATCACCCACAACGGTACGCATGACTCGAGCACGGTACCCGAAATAGATGTGCTTTTCCAACTCTGCTCTCCCACCGCTCTCCCTTCAACTCGGTGCTGCCTCTCTTAGAGTTTGACGCTGTGTGACGATCCTCCCTGTTCCCAACCCCCCCACCATGCCCTGCCACCAGGCGAGAGCAGCACGTTTGTCCTCACGCGCGTCACAGCAGAGGTGGACACGGGCGGGGGCCTCGTGACCTCCTTCTCCTCGCTGCCTGTCTCCACCACCCTCTACCCGCCCTCCCTCACCTCCGTCTTCCTGCTGCTGCTGCAAGCGGTGTACGTGGCGGCGCTGCTGTGGAACGGGGTGGAGGAGGCGGTGGAGCTGCGGGGGCGCATGAAGAGAGAGGGCTCTGTGCTCAGCTACTTGCGCTCCGGCTGGAACTGGATGGACATGGCCTCGCTGCTCCTGCAGTGGCTCGCTCTCATCACCTGGATCGTGCTGTGGCGGACCACAGAGGCCTTTGACGTGCAGCCACGGTACGACATCTACCACACGCTGCTGGAGAGGCCGCAGTACTGGGCCGTGCCGGAGCCGCCGGTGGGGTTCCTGGCAGCCATGGACCGATACTCGTCACTGCAGGCGCTCATCAACTGGCGCTCCTTCTACTTCGCCCTGCAGGGCGTCAAGTGCGTGCCTGCCTGCCTGCCTGCCTTCCACCACGCTGCCCGCCACTCAGTCTCTTTCAGCTCTATCTGGGCGTCATCACGCGCTCCCTTGCCCTCGCCATGCCATCACTCCTTCACTTCTTCCTGCTCACATTCATCGTCTTCTTCTGCTTCGCTCTCTATGGCTACCTCGTCTTTGGCGGAAAGATGGAGCAGGTGTGTGGTGGGTGGGAAAATGAACCGGCACAGCACTTAACTCTCAATCACTCCTTTCATGTGCATGTTCTCCCTCCAGTAACCAGTTTCGTTTGTCACTTGCTCCTTGGTGCATCTCATGTAGCAAAGCCGCTTATGAAGCAATGATTCACCCCCATGCGTCCCCCTCCGCGTCCCCCCAAACCCTGATCCGACCTGTGCAGTTTGCGACGCTGCCAGAGGCGTTGTTCACGTGTTTCCTGATCATCCTGAACGAGAATGCGACGGCCTACTTTTTTGCACACATGCACGATTGGGACCTGGTGGCGGGCATGCTCTTCTTCATCGCCTTCATTCTCCTCCTCGTCTTCATCCTCTTCAACTTCCTCATCGCCATCATCGTCGACATCTTCATGACCATCAAGGTGCCTTCTTCTTTTTTTTACCCCCCCTTTTTTTTGCCACCGTGTCTGTATTCCCCCAGAAGTGTCTGGTTACAACAAGAAGTAAGCCCTGCATCTAGTTTTTTCTCACACTTGCCTCCCGCTCGCCCTGCCAGGACTCGCATGTGGTGGCGGCATCCATAACGCACGACATCGGCACCATCCTGCGCTACCTCATCAACCGCTCTCTCGGGCGCTTCTCACCGTACAGCGACATCATGGCGCGCCTGGAGCAGCTGGGCGCGCGCAACAAGCAGCAGGACGAGGCGCACAAGCGCATGCAGCGCTACCAGTCCTTCAAGCGCCGCGCCAAGTCCTGCCTCACCGGGAAGGTCTGTGGGGCGAGTGCTGCGGAGGTGGAAAGAGCCAAGACGATGGCGGCGGGTGGGGCTGGGGCGGTAGCGGCGCCGCAGAGGGTGCTGCAGGTGAATGGGCAGAGCATCGATGACATCTCCCTCGCCATGATCCTGCAGCGCCGCCACGCCAGGCAGGTGTGTTATGCGTTCGTCCTCTTCGGCACACCTTGGTTTCGTTTTACCTGATCCACGCTTTTTTTTTTTTTTGTCGACTCGAACGCCAACACAGAGACTCACTCACGCCCTCCCATTGCCCCTCTCCCCATTCCATCGGACCCACTCACAGGACCCGTCAGCTTCACTCCCCTCCCCGTCCTCCGCATCCGTGTTGCAAATCTCGCCCGAGTCAGAGCAGCTGTCGCATGTGCTGCTGCGGCAGTTCGGGGACCACGTGGTGCGGGACTACAGCCGCCCGTAGCACAAGCCCAAGCACGGGCTGCCGCAGGTGCAGGAGGAGCTGGGGAAGGTGAAGGAAGCCATGGATGGGCTTAAAGCCATGGTGCTCGCACTGCACTCCGCTGTTGCTACAGGGGCGGGCGGAGCGGGGGTAGGGTTTGGAGGGGAGGGTATGCTGCCTGCTGCTGCCACTGGTGCGGCGGGTGCGGATGGCGGGGCGGCTGGGGGAGCAGCGGGGCATTATCCGTTGTTTTCTGTGTCGTCGTCGGCAGCAGCAGCGCTGGCTCGCTCTTCTTTCAGCACCACGTCCTCCTTCTCCTCCGCCCAAGGCTGCTTCCTCTCCCCCAACTCCCTCGGCACGCCCCTCGGCACCTCTCCTGCCCGAGACCCCTTCTCCCCTGCCGCCTCCTCGCTCGCTGCCGCCAACCCCTTCATCCGTAACCCATTCGCTACTGGTAACCAGCTCGCCGCCAGCCACCCGCTCGCGGCCAAGAACCCATTTGCCGGGGGTAACCCATTTGGCACAGGCGGTCCCCAACACCGCTCGCTCGTGCTGCAGTGGGGGGCAGCGAGGAGGGCAGGGAGTGCCGGGCGGGCGGGGCTGAGAGGGAGCATGGGTCCCCAGTAACCTGGGGCGCGGGAACCAGGCAAGCAGGCAGGGGAACGGGCCGATGCTTTCGCGTGTGGAGACCACCCCACTGCCCCACCGGCATAGATCAGACGACGCTGCTTCAGCTCGTCATGGCGGTTCCGGCATTGATTCTCATGCTGATAGCTCGCAGCAGCCGACTGATGAGAGTGCGGCTTTCGTTCATGCAGATACCATGCCCATGCCCCAAACCCGCACCTCTTCGTTCCCCTATCCTGAACCCGAGCCTCGTGACGCACAGGCAGGTTCGGCGCAGGCTCGTGGGAGCAGTGATGGTGAGAGCGCTGATGGGGATGGCAAGGGGAGTGCAAGTGGTGAGGAACAGAGCGAGGAGCTGTCGCCGCTGACACGAGCCGCCCGGCGCGTATCATTGTCAGAGATGGAGGAGGAGGGTGGAGGGAGGATGAGGAAGAGAGGTGGAGAGAGTAGCAACGGGAGGGGCGCGAGTGGCGATGGTGGAAGTGTGTCTGTGCGGAAGAGTGTGGGGTTCCGGGAGGTGTGAGGGAGGAATGTGCTGTAAGATGCCGCACTGAGTGAGAAGACCAAATGACAGCAGACCGCAGCATAGCGGAGTTGGTCTGCAACCGCTGGGTGTATGAGGTGGCAGCGATGCTATGTTACCTTGATGAGAGCACCGAACCAGTCCAGTCACTAAGTGCTGATGTTGCCTTCAGATTACCAGGTGAGTGGCAAGTGAGGTGGGGAGAGAGAAGGGGTTTGGCAGGGTGGAAAGAAAGATGCCACAAAGATAGAAAATCTCGTTATATCTGTATGTTAACCTCTCCTGCTCCACCTTGTCCCGTTCCTCCATGCAGCTGCTGGTTACTGAATGAACAGTATGTGCTCGGACCTATGGACCAGGGAGGGCGGTCATCCTTACATTCGTGGTCCAGACGTCGTGGAGCCACTCAGCATTGTGGTGAAGAGCAAATCGCACATCAATTGTAATTGTGGGGTACAGCATGGTAGCTTGTAAATGAGAGCATGATAGAGAAATGATATAATCTGCATTGTTTCAAGATGAGAAGCAACTTTTTCTCACAGAATAGTTCTTTAGTGGTAAGTAGGGAGGCAGTTCATTCATGGAAAGAGTCACTGTATTGCTGAGCGTACAACCTGTTCAACTACACCAATCATTGTGGAGCTCAACTGCACCTGTTGCCAAGTTCAAGCTCTTTTTCTGCTGTTGACCAAACCACATATCTTGGGATTTGCAGTAAACCTTAGGTGGTGACTGAACAATACAGTCGACCCTGAATGAACAGAAATCACTAGGGACAGAACCAGCTGCAATTTGGCACAGGCAGAACAAGTGCCGGCACTCGTAGAATTGGGGTACCGAGCAGGGTCGTCGCTAGCAGACTTTTTTTGTCTGTTTGACTTACCATATTACCCCGGATAAAAGCGCAGGTGCGCTTATAATAAATCAGTGTTTTTTAGGGGGGTGCGCTTATAATTGAGTCATTTTTATAAGCGCATGCTCTTATAAAATGACAGCTATAGATTTATAATATTCAAACACCAAACTGTAGATCTCATGGTGGCTTTTCCAATCGAGACGAATTTATAAGGGGTCGTGAGCAAAATTCTCGCGCGGCTGGCAGATACAGTCGATGTGACTGACAAGGCGCCCATGACAGCTCATGCTGACTGGACTCGAATGTGAGGAGAACCGAAATTTCAACACATCCACCTGCTAAAGGGAAAACCGTTATAGTATTTTCACACATTTTTATTGTGAAATTTAACATGCGCTTATAATAAATCAAGTTTTTTTAGGGGGTGCACTTATAATTGAGGATCGGCCATAAGCGCATTGCTCCAGATAGAAGCGCATGCGCTTTTAAAAGGCCTTCGCTTATATCCGGGGCGATACGGTATAATCAGACATGTTTTTTTGGATTAGTCTGATGGGCCAGTCTGCATCAGACAGAACTTTTTTTTTTGCCCGGGGGACCCATCTGATGCATCAGACACACCTCAGGTCCTAGGGACGACCCTGGTACCGAGGTTACGCATATTAGGACGTGGGCCCAATCGAGTTTGATCGCAACTGTTACGATATGAAGTTTTATGAGAAGGCATTCCTGTATGCTGCAGGAGCCGACTCTATCGAGTACGAAGTCGAGGAGTCAGAAGAATCGAAGCGACACAGCAACCGTCTGATCAAGACCGATGCAGGCAGAAACATTTGAAGTGAAAAGAGCGGGAACAGGTTTGAAACTGATTCCCGCGCCGCACAGTTTGAATTTCAATAAGGGAATGTACCCCTTAGAGTACATGGCTAGTCTAGGTCGTTTCGCATTCCTTTGTATTTCTATATAAACCCTATGTATGCATGCAATCATCAATCTCAGTCATTTTACATTTACTCTGACCTGAGTTCACTACTTCCGCTGCGACACTACCTGCGATCAACCCTGAACGATCCTTTTTCACACTTCAGATTGTAACAGCAACTGATATGATCGGGTCGGATCTGATCGCAGTGCCCAAGCCGCCTGATTAGAGATGTTTTTCAGAGAAGATTCTTAACGCCTGCTTGTCAGAATCCCAACCACTAACCATTGGGATAAAATGGCTTGTTTGTGTAGCGGGTGAGTGCGCCCATAACCCCCCAGGCCAACGTGCCTGTAACCCTTCCCTAAGATCAATCGGGGATCACAAGTGGACCTCTGACACCCCCTCGCACTGGGATGCCCGAGGTGCACACACTGGGATTCGAACCCGAGACCTTCGCTCTGATACCATGTCAGAATCTCAGCCACTAACCATTGGGATAAAAGGGCTTGTTTGTGTAGCGGGTGAGTGCGCCCATAACCCCCCAGGCCAACGTGCCTGTAACCCTTCCCTAGGATCAATCGGGGATCACCAGTGGACCTCTGACACTGCTCAGCAGGCCCCACGTTATCAGGGCAAAACATCCTGATTACCCTGAATTCAGGATGCAGTTTTAAATTTGCCTTGTAATTTTAAAATAGTGTCAATTTTAACCCTGTGGTCTCAGGATGTTATTATATGAAATGCCCTGCAAATTCAGGATGGCCGTTGTGTTCTTCCCTGAAGCGTCAGGATGCATGTCGAGGCTTACCCTGACGCGTTTTTAGAGAGGGGGTGGGGGGGTGGGAGGAGGGGGGGTGTTCCCGTTAACAGGGATTTTTTTCCGCGGGGAAGTTTTTCCCCGTGTCGTTTTCCAGCCTTCGCACGATTCCTTTGACAGTTCCGATCCTCTGCAACGCACCAGCCGAACCCATCAGATTGGGAACAGGTTGGGCAAGGCAACACTATCGTCTCCTCGTGTGCCATGGATGCACCCTTCCAGTGTTGCTGTTGTCAAACATTATATGTGTTGTGCTTGTTTAGGCTGCAGTGGGTTAGCCTATAGGGGGTACACAATTCTAGGGTTAGGTACTTGTACTCATTTTCACTGCTAGTTCATTCATTTCCTCGTTCAGTTATTCTGACATGGTTTCAGAGCAGGTCCTTCGCTAGGACCTAAGTTTTTTTTTCGGGCCCACCTCTACTAACTACTTCCTAGCGCCTTAGTGCGCCCTACTGTCGGAGTGCTGCGTTAGCGCCTCCCCCTCAGCGCCCTCGTGCGCCCTCGTGTACGGCCCCTTAAGGCCCCGTCGACCCCGCACGCTGCCCCTTAGTGGCCCCGTCGCACCCGCGCGCGCCCCGATTCCGGCCCGCTTGGCCCCGTCGACCCCGCGCGCACCTCGTTTAACGGCCCCGCGGCCCCGTCGACCCACCCTAGAGGCCCCGCGGCCCCGCGCGCACCCCGTTTAGCGGCCCCGCGGCCCCGTCGACCCACCCTAGAGGCCCCGCGGCCCCGCGCGCACCCCGTTTAGCGGCCCCGCGGCCCCGTCGACCCACCCTAGAGGCCCCGCGGCCCCGTGCGCACCCCGTGTAGCGGCCCCGCGGCCCCGTCGACCCACACCTAAAGGCCCCGCGGCCCCGCGCGCACCCCGTTTAGCGGCCCCGCGGCCCCGTCGCCCGCCACCTCACGGCCCCGCGACCCTGCTGCGCCCCGCTTAGCGGCCCCACGGCCCCGTCGAGCCCCGCTTAGAGGCCCCCGCGGCCCTGTACTGCCCCGCTTCACAGCTCCGCGCAGCCGCGCTTACCTGAACCGAGCCGCGCCGTCAGACCGAGCCGCGCCGCCCGTACCAGCAGCCCCGTCGATACTGCTGCTCCTCCTATTTCTTCTACGGCTACTACTACTGCTCCTACTGCTACTACTGCTGCCACTATGGCCAGTCCTCCCGTGCTTGCTTTCGATGCTGAGGGCCGCCCAGTGAAATTTGACACCTGGCTAGATGACCTGCACCTCTTCCTACAGCTCACTGCCAAGGAGGATATTTCGCTGTACGATCATGCCCTCGGTCACGCTACTGCCCCTCCTACCACTGCAGACAGCACTCAGCGCTCACAGTGGCAGACTCGTGACGCCCACGCTCGCTTCGCTATTCGCAACTCCCTGCCACTAGATGAGCGCGAGCACTTTGGCCAGCACAAGACTGCTAAGGACCTGTACACTGCTGTAGTTGCTCGTTACTCCTCACCTGCCTCTGCCGCACTAGGCCGCCTCACCCTCCCCTACCTGTTCCCCGACCTGGCCTCCTTCAGCACAGTCGCTGACCTCATCACCCACCTCAGGACCAGTGAGGCCCGCTTTCGCGCTGCTATGCCTGACGAGTTCCTTGCCAGCAACCCCCCCTCGCTTTGGATCACGCTCTACCACATCGTCACCCGCCTCCCTGACTCTCTGCGCGCAGTCAGGGATCACTTCCTCGCTCGCTCTCCCACTGAGCTCACCATTGCCCTCCTCGAGAAGGAATTGCTTGCAGCTGAGGCGAGCATCGTCGCTGTAGGCACCTCTCGTGGCGACCCCCGCACCCCGTTCTTTGAGGGGTGTTCCCCTTCCCCTCTCCTCCCCTCTATCGCCTGTGCTGCTGCTGTCGACCTCCTTGGTGCTGAGAAGGTCGGGGCCGCGTCTGCTCCGAGCGGGCGCCGCAGGGGCAAAGGGGGCAAGGGTGGAGGTGGCGGCGGGGGAGGCGGGAGTGGTGGCGGTGGGTTTGGCGGTGGGGCTGGAGAGGCTAGTGGCGGCAGTGGGGGTGGTGACAGCAGCGGCGGGAGCGGTGGCAGGGGCGGAGGCGGCAGCGGAGGCGGAGGTGGTCGTGGCGGCGGCAGGGGTGGAGGTGGCCGGGGCGGTGGCGGCGGCGGTGGTGGTCGTGGAGGCGCTGGCGGTGGCCAGAGTCAGCAGCCCGCCCCGTCGCTTCAGGCCGCCCGTGAGTGGTATGCGCAGCGTGGCTTTACCTGCACGTACGTCATTCGCACTGGTGACCGCACTGGCCAGCAGTGTGGGAGGCCGCATCCCACACAGCGCTGTTTCGCGCGCCTTACTGACGCGTGGCGTGCCCAGTTTCCTGATGCCACTGAGCTGCCCCGCTGGGCTGATCTGGAGAAGAAGGGAGTTGATATCTGGGCTTTAGACTTTGATGCTATTCTCACTGCCATGTATGCAATGTTTACTAGTGGAGAGGGTGCTCAGTACTTGCGTGTTCCGCCCGACCCGGGCATTCTGACCAGTCCGGCTGCCGCTCTAGGTGCTAGTGAGTCTGCTGCCCCAGGTCCTGGTGAGGCTGCTGCTCTAGGTGCTAGTGAGTCCGTGCCCTCTGGTACTGAGTTGACTGCAGCACTGCACACCTTCACACTGGACTCAGGTGCTTCTCGCTGTTTCTTTCGTGACCGCACTGTCCTTGAGCCGCTTGCTCGGCCAGTTGCTGTCTCCCTCGCTGACCCCTCTGGGGGTCCGGTCGTTGCAACCTC